TGGGCGCGGCACCCCCTCCGCTCAGCCCGGGTCTCCAGGCGCGGAAGCCGCCGGGCCGGCCGGAGCGCGCGGAGGGAAGGCGGCCCGGGTCCGGGAGGAGCCTCCCCCGCCGGGCCGCGGGAACTGGCGGCGCGGGGGGGTCCCGCCGCGCGCGCGTCCGGAAGCGGGAAGAGGGGGCCGGCCTCGCCCCGCGCCCGGGTCCCCGCGGGACGCCCACCCCCGCGGGCACCTCCCCGCCCCGACGCGCGGCCCCGCCCCGGCTCCCGGATCGGACTCCCGGGTCCCTTCCTGCGTCTTTCCCCTCTTTCCTCTGGGCCTTGGTACGCCCCAGGGGACAGATGTCTTGGGATCTTTAACATTTGGGATGCTGCAAATGCCGAAGTTAAATGAAATGCCTCCGGGGAGGGGAGGCCGGGAGGAATCGCGGGGGGAGGACAGCTGGCCTGGACGAGCAGGTCCCGAGGCTGCGAGGCGCGCGCGGGGGGCGCGGGGGCAGGCGGGCGGCGAGGGATCTCCATGGGACAGGTAAGGGGGAGCGCCGGGGCGCGACGCGGGAGCCGGGGGGGATCGAGCCCCTAACCCACAGTCTTCCGCCTTAGAGGAGGGGGCCCTGCGTGGAGTGGGGGGAATTTGCCGGGGGGTGGGAATTCCGAGTTCCTACCGAAAATGCATGTTTCCGTCTCCTCGACCTTTCTCCTGCGACCTTCCCCACGCCTGTGGATCCCCTGGCAGGTTCCGGGAAGGCAGACAAAAGGAGCCGAGTCTCGGGCCGCCTGGACGCGGAGGGCGCGGTGGGGGAGGGGAGCAGGGTGGACCGGACAAAGGGGCTTTTTGAGGAGAGCCTAGAGGTCTGATTCCAGGGCGCATTCCAGGCCGTCGTGGAGTCCCCTGTCGCAGCCCGCTCCACCATCGCTCGCCGGAGGCGAGCACCTTTCCCACTGGGAAGGGAGGAGGAGGGGAAAGAAAACAGTTTGAGGAACCATCTCCCGCCCCCCTCGCCTGGAGGGTCCCGGGATATTTCCCTCCTTTCTCTTTCCACTGGCTCGAGCAGCCGACCATTGGCTCCTTAATTGTTTAAGTGTAATGGTAGGAGCGCCTGAGACTTTTCTTTGCCGGGTGCTGGTTGGGGCGTCAGGTCGGGCCCTTGCTTTGACTTCCGATCTCATGTATCACAGGAAACTTAAAGGAGGAACTTACAAAAAAATAATGGAGAGTGGATGGATGCAGGAGGTGCAAGAGTTTTGATTCAGGACTTTTCCTTAGGAGATGAAAACCCTAAAGAGATGCAATTTTTTCCCTTCTTTCAAAGATCAGATTCCAAGTGTGTGGGGAAACCCCACTTCCTCACCAATGATGCTGTGGAGTTGGGGTTCGGGGCACTGGCTGGGAGCAGGGTGCTGAACCCCGCGTTCTCAGCAGGCCTCTGGAATGCCCACTCTGGATATTTTGAATTGAAGGCCATGGCAGCCAGGGAGATCCATGGCCTTGGGGGTCTTGGGAGAGTTGGTTGGCTGGTCCCACTCCAAGCCTCAGATCCTGCTGGGCTGGGAAATGCTGCGTGTGAATTTGAGGGAGCAAGAGGGGCCTTTGAGGATTCCGGAGGATCAACGCGGAGACTGGTCGGTCCTCTGTCCTCTCCCTGAGCTCAGAGATGGGGGTGGTTACCTGAGGGCGGGATTCTTAACTGGGTCCAGGGGCACCCAAGCATCTGTGGATAGCATTCAGAGGGTCGTGGACTCGGATGGGAAGGGTTTATTTTTCACTAACCTTTACTGAAATTTAGCATTGCCTTGTAACCATTGGTAGTACCTGTGATTTGCCGTTAATAGACACCACAGAGGGTTCCATATCACAGCGCAGTTGTGATAGCTGTCTTGAAACCTGGTTTACCGTCGGTCATGAAACATCGTTTACCATCGTCATTGCTACGGAACTGCCCACTACTAGATCCTGTTTAATGTTAATAAAGAAACATATATAGATTACTATGTTTTACTGTTTTTAGAACTGTATTTAATATAATCCATTATCTTAGCGGTTCTCTTCATCTTATTTTATGCATTAAAAAAGATGCTATGAGTTGATTCTAGAAACTTCCATCACTCCCTCCCCCCCGGAGCTGGGGGATGGGCAAGGTGGAGGCTGGGTGCCAGCTTCAGAGTCAACTCCTCTGTTTGTTGTGGGAAGACTGTGACAAACCTGTAGGGGGGAAGGGAAGGGCTGCGGGCTCTTTGGGAGACCCAGAGTAGGCCCCCCAGCACAGGGGGGCTGTCCCCTGTTGGGGCCCCTCAGCCTCAGCCTAGGTAAAGAAGGGGGTGGTCAGCCTGGAGGGCTCAGGACTCACATTGTTTGGACAGAGGGTGCGCAAAGGAATGTGAGGGGAGATGGGTGTGTGTGCAGGGGGAGTGGGGAGACTGCCTGTGTTGGTGACACAGCTCCACAGAAGGTGGTTGCGGGGGGTGGGAATTCCTTGTGTGTTCCTCCAGGCTGCCACTACTCACCGTTTAAAACCTCCCACCTCTCTCTTCTGAGGCTAGTCTTTATGTGTTCTCTGTATCTTACCCCTACCTCTGCTTTAGGGAACCTAGTTTATTGGTTTTCCCCTTTCTCTTCTCAGTTTTTGACGCTTCTTCATCTGTTCCTTCCTATAACTGTTTCAAAAATGTTCTTATTTTTAAAAAATGGGAGTGTAAGTAAAAGAAACTTGCCTTGCAGTTAACTTCTGCCCTCGGTTTTGGCATAGATATCACTACTTTCAGAAAGTGTCCTCTGATCCCACAGACCAAGGTAGTGCTTCTCCTACATGCTTCTTTATTATCCTGCATTTCCCCACTCATAGAAGGAATCTCACAATAGTGTAATTTTGTGTTGTCTGCCTTCCCCACTAGGCTGTGAGCTCCATGAGCACAGGGATTTTTATCTTTTTAGTTATTCTTTGTTGTATTTTCAGCCCCCAGAAGAAATCCTGACACATAGAAGCACTTATGAATTAACAAATGGATTAAGTGAAGAGGAAGAGATACAGACTTTTTCTCTAATAATGCTCACATGTTTTACCCTGTGGTACTCTCCTGTCCTACTCCCGCCTCCACCCCAAAGGAATTATATTTGCATGTTCAATCTGATTGCTTTGACTGGGAAAATATAATGGTGAGTGCTTTAATTTAAGTGACATCAGGTGGGAGAGGAAGGTACTGCTAACTTTTTTTTTTTGAAAGGGAAATATCCATTGTAGGTTGCAAACATCTTTTATAAAAATCAGTCATTAAAAAAAGATAAAAATTCAAAGAGATGAGATTTAGATTCAATAACTGTCCACAAGTCTGGTGCCTTATCTAAAACTTTTCGAAGCAGAAATCAGACCAATTTCACAGGGGATTTTGTTAGAATTTTTTCTGGTGTTTTCTACTTCTGGTTCAGTGAGAATCTTGACAGTGATTGCTTACCTGGAGACATCTTATGCTTCTCAGTAGAACTATGTAAAGAAATACTATATGGAAAGTAAGGGATTTTCAGGTGAAAATCATATAAGAGATTTTATTTATGGTTTTAAACTTCTGGTGGCCCATTATTTTGTACTTGTCCTCTGATAAAGGATATTGATGAGAGAGAAAGTAAATTCTCATGATGGCAATGTTAACAAGGACATAAGTAATGGAGTTAACTTTCATCGAAAATTTGCAGTATGCCAGTCATTGTTCAAAGCTTTCTACATACATCAGCTCATTTAATCATACAACATTTTAAGGTAGGTACTATTATTATACCAATTTTACAGATGAGGAATTGAGGCAGAAGTGAGGTGGGATGACTTCTCACACAGGCACTAAGTGGTACAGTCCAGGTCCAGTCTCGCTTAGAACCACTACACCACTACATTCTACCCACTTCAGTACAGACGGGGGCTGAAAACAGATTACAAATTTAATATGTAAAGTGCCTCTATCCCACATGTAGATTTTAGTAAAATAGTAAATTTAAGTGATAAAAGGCAAGTAAGATGTGTACATTAAGATTCTGTTTTTCCAGACTGGATACATTTTGAGTATTTGAGGTATTGCTGTATTTTAGACACCTGAGCATCATCTTTGGGCTGTGTATTTTTTTAACATTTTATTTTGAAATAGTGGTAGATCCACAGGAAGTCTTTGGGGATGGGGTGGTGGTCTTTGGGGCTGGGAAGGTTGTCTTCCAGTTGGGGAGGCGGTCTAGGGGCTGCGGATGAGGTCTTTGGGGATGGGGTGGTGGTCTTCGGGGCTGGGGACGTGGCCTAGGCGCTGAGGAGGTGGTCTTGAAGCTGGGGAGGTGATCTTTGGGGATGGGGAGGTCGACTAGGGACTGAGGAGGGGGTCTTTGGGGCTGGGGGTGTGGTCTAGGGCCGGGGGAGTTGGTCTAAGGTCTGGGGAGGCTGTCTAGGGGCTGGGGACCTGGTCTAGGGGCTGGGGAGCTGCTCTTGGGGCTGGGGAGGTGGTCTAGGGGCTGGGGAGGTGGTCTTGGGGCTTGGGACGCGGTCCTGGGGCTGGGGAGGTGGTCTAGGGGCTGGAGATGTCGTCTTGGTGTTGGGGGAGTGGAGCTATTGGAGACGCGTCAGTGCTGGGATCCCAAGGTGAGGGGCGTGGTGAGAAAAGCAGGTGGCGTTCAGCCTTGAGGGGTCTCCTGCGTGTGCAGCACTGTCTGTCTTCTTGCCTCCTGTGATGGGTCACAGTGTCTCTGGCCCTTGCTTCCCCCAGTGAAATAGAGTGAATTCCAAACTGTTGGTTTTCCTTGAAGGTCAGTTGCGTGGAGACTCAGAGGCTCATTTCTTGTAGGGAACAGTTTCCATTTTGGTCTCTGGCCCCCGGTGGTTGGGGGTGAGCTTAGACCCCGGGGTCCCAGTGGCCCTCCTGTGGACTAGGGAGAGGACTGGGGTCCAGGTCAATGTGCCATGGGCCCTGTGGAGGGATGGTTGTAAATGATAAACAGGGAGGTGGCGGCCATGATGATTCTGGAGGGAAATGTCTGTGATCAGAACAGCCTGGCCTGCTGTGGGACCCCAGAGCCGCCCCGCGTGGAGTTCCGGGGTCACGGCCCGGCCCGGAGTTTCTAATCTCATCTGGCCTTGGCCCCGCTTCCGGGTCTGGGGAGCAGGGCCCCTCCTTGTCAGCATGTAGGTTTCTCGCTGGTGGTCCCCACGCGCCGGGGTCTTTGCCCGCTCTGGGCGCTGCGCGGAGCCGGAATCTGGGGCGGCGGGCGGCTCAGCACAGGGCAGGGGGGCCCTTGAGGCCGCGAAGGCCTGATCCCCGCTGCCTTCTTCCGGGGTTCCTCCGAGGGGAGCCCCTTTCTCCCGCCCGTGCGGTCCCCGGAAGTGCAGAGGCCCGGGCTGCCTGTGGGGCAGGCTTTGCTCTGGGAAGGGCTTGCTCACCGCTCCTCCCTCTGACTCAAGTCGGAACAAGTAACCTGGCTCCCCTGGCCGGGCAGCCTGGGAGGGACACAGGCGGGACCAGGGGAGGGACAGCCACCGGCCATCGGCGTGGGGAGTGGAACTGGGTCAGAGAGCACGGGGCGGCCTGGGACACCCTGAGGAGACATGCCAGGCCCCTCGGTCCCCTGACTTGGGACCAGGGGGCGTTTCCCGGACTCCTGGACTGAGCTGGAAGCAGGTGAGGGCGGGGCAGCTGGAGCGGGTCTTTGGGGCGAGGGCAAGCCGGCCTAGGGGTGGGGGGCCCAGCAGTGGCCGTCCGCCACAGGGCACAGGGGTGATGGGGGTGCTGGTGGGCTCGGATGAGGACCCGGCGCTGTAGTTCCCAGGCCTCAGTTTCCACGGGAGCGGGGAAGGCTGGGACGAGAGAGTCCCAGGGCCTCTCTTTGGGGCCACATTTGCGACGGGAGAGGGTCCCAGTGGCTCAGCCCGAGGGCAAATGCACGGCGCTCCCCTTCCTCCCCTTTTGTCCCCCTCTGTCTTTTCCTGGGGGTTTGCGTTCGTTCGTTCGCTCCCTCGTTCTCCCGTCTTGTTCTCCGATCTCCGCGGCGGACGGACGGGGCTTTTGCCACCTGGGGCTGCGGGTCTGGAGGGCAGGGAGGGTTCCCATGCGCAGGGGCGGGGACGTTCCCGGAACTGCCTGTATCTGAAAGCCATGCCTTCAACACCCACGGGAGCCTGCGGGCCCTGGGACAGGGTCCCCGAAGCCGGAGGGCCGCCTCCAGGGGGGCAGGTGAGCGGGCCGCACACGTGTGGGTCCTTCCTGCTCAGCCTGGCGCTATCCAGATTCAGTATGGGGACTGGCCAGGGCCCCAGGTACCGTCCAGTTTTCACCGTGCCTGTGAGGACGGGAGGCCCAGCCAGGTGAGGTGAGGTGAGCTCCCCTAAGATCACACAGGTGATGGCAGGATCCAGGCTGGAATCCGGGGCTTCCAACCTCCGGTCCGTGCTCTCTGCCCTACTTGGAGCAGGCCTGCCCCCGACCCTGGCCAGAGGGAGGAAGGGGCTGAGGGGCCCGTTCTGCCGGGCCACCCCTCGGTCCCTGCAATTCCTGCTCACTCTGCAACAGGCAACAGCGTGAGAAGCAGGGCTGAGTTGTCAGAGCTTCCCAAGGCAACTCCTTAATGGTTAATAATTAATTAGTAAGTGTGAGTAATTGATGGCTTCCCTCCCACATCACCCCCTCCCTCGTCCAAGCGGACGTGCTAGGACAGCCTTGCTTCCTTGCTCTGGCAGGGCCCTGCCCCTGGCTGCTGGGGAGGCCCACAGGCTGCCCAGGGCTCTGCAGCGGGCGGCAGGGGAGCTGCCTGCCCTCTGTCCCGCTCCATCTCCAGGAGGGATGAGGGTTTGGGAGGGTGGACCAGGCAGAGCTAACTCACGCCAAGTACCCTGGTCTCGGTTCCCAGAACGTGTGGCCAGGCTCTCTCCTTGGCATCTTCACAAAGGCCCCATATAAACTTAAAAAAAAAAAAAAAATCCTACCCTCCACTCTCTAGACTTCCTTGGAGAACTGCAGCTCCAAAGTGCAGGTACCTGTTGTTTTCAGGGCGAGGTTTTTAACTGAGGCCCAAGGTGCTCTGATAGGCTGTGCTGTTTCTGTAGGTCTGTAAAGCTGTCCATGGGCAGAGAGGTGCTCCTGGGGCCTGGCCATCAGCGGTGCCTCCTCCAGGGGCCTGGCCGCCGGCTCAGCTTGTCTCCTCTGGCTGAGGAGCCCCCCCCCCCCCCCCCGCGGTGGGGGACAAAAAAAGCCTCTCGGGCTGGTGAGTGCCGGTCGGCCCTTGGTGCCCTGAGGAGAAGCAGGAGAAGCTCCAGACAGAGACTCCGGAGGACTTTTGGACTCTTGCTCAATGGCTGACTCAGGGAGGAGGTGGCTGGGCTTTCCTTCCAGGCCGCCTGCCCGGGCCCCGCCCACGCTCCCCACCCTGGCTTCAGCCAGCCGCCGCCAGGCCCCGGCCAGCTGGGACCCTGAGCAGGCGTGCAGACTTGGCGAAGAGAGAGGGGGCGCCAGCGGGTGCAGCCAGGGTGACTGCTGCCGGCAGACGCACACCTGGAACTCTACCTGAGCTGCACACGTGCGCCCGGCCCGGGCAAGGAGAGTGGCCGTGGTCTCCTTCCCGTCTTCGGGCAGCTTCGGCTCTGGTCACCCCTCCAGCCCCGGCAGCACGCGCCCAACACACACGCACGTGCGCACTGCCTCGCTCCCGGCTGTGGGGTGTGGGGTCCGGGCCCCCTCCCCTTCGAGGGGCCTCCCAGGCATAGCTGGTGGCCAGGGAGTTGGCTCACGGCTTTGGGCACCTGCCCTTGGGTGGACCGCCTGGTGCAGGCAGACAGCAGGCAGCCTGGGCTGTGGGCCTTGGGACAGGGCCTGGCTGAGTGCCCGGTGCCCTCACCCCCGGGGGCGGCGGGACGGGTCTCGGGCTGAGGACCGTCAGCCGTGCCTCCTTCCTGGCACCGACGTTTCCCCTCCCTCTCTCCTTGCCTTCCTCCTGGACTTGTCCTCCCACCTTTTCCGTGTCCCTTCCTTTCCATCCTGTCTCTTTGCTCCTGTCCTCACGGTCTTTCTCCCCAGTGTCGTGGTCCCTGTGGCCACCACTGCTGTCACCCCCTGGGCTCGGAGGCCTCTCTGGGAAGGAGGCGGTAGGGGGCCAGGCTGGGCCCAGGGCAGGTGCGCTGGAGAGGCCCACAGAGCCTTCTGTCCGCAGCGCCCCTAGCACTGACACCCGCATCCCAGACTCACTCCCCTGGAAGCATGGGCCTCACGCCACATCTCCCACCCTCACCCACCTGGCTCAACAGCTCTGTTTGGAGGCAAGGGGGTTTACATGTATCATTTTCTGTTCTTTTAAAAGCTGGGGAAACTCCAGGCCACCTGCACATCCTGGCCCAGGCTGGGAAGGGTGTCGGCCCCTCCTCCTCTGTGCCCCCTCCTCCCAGAAGTCCACCATGGAGAGCAAGGATGAGGTCAGCGACACCGACAGCGGCATCATCCTGCAGTCTGGTGAGGGCTTCGGGCGCCCCCGACCCCACCAACTCCTCGAGTCCCAGGCTCCAGGCCCGGCCAGGCTGAAAGGCCCAAGGCGGGGGCGGCGGGGAGGCCACTGTGTGGGGAAGGGGGGTGCAGACCCTGGAAGGGCTGAGAGTTTTCCTCCCGGTGTGTGTGGGGGGTCTGGCCTGGAGTGTCAATCCTATCTGAAGAGCTACCTGCCGTGTTCAGCTCTGGCCCCATGATTCCTAAGAAGCTGAAAACTCTTATCTGGTTGGCATGAAGGGGCCGTGGCTCAGGCTGGCCACAGCCGATGGGCCCAGTCGGGTCTGGTTGGACAGAGAGAGAAGAGGCGTGTGCAGTGTGTGTGTGTGAGTGTGTGTGTGTATGTGTGTGAGTGTATTGTGTCTGTGTATGTGTGTGTGCGTATGTGTGTATTGTGTGAGTGTATTGTGTCTGTGTATGTGTGTGTGCACGTGTGTATGTATATGTGTGTGCGTGTATGTGTGTGCGTGCATGTGTGTGCACATGTGTGAGTGCATGTATGTATGTGTGTGTATGTGTGTGTGCGTGTGCGTGTGTATGTGCACGCGCGTATGTGTGTATATGTGTGCACGTATGTGTGTGTATATGTGTGTATGTGTGTGTGCGCGTATGTGTGTGTATATGTGCGTGAGTGTATGTGTATGTGTGTGTATATGTGTATGCGTGAGTATGTGTGTGTGTGTGTGTGAGAGAGAGAGAGAGGCGGGGAGCAGACAAGGAAGAAGCCGCGGGTGGCGGCTGGGAAGGGAAGGGCGGGAAGGAACGGGCTCTGGCCACAGCCTGGCCCTCACCGCACGTGGCCGAGGGGCCGCCCGTCCCTCCGAGCCGTAACGGTGCCATTGGGCCGCCGGGGGACACACCGCCTTCGGCTGTGACACGGCCTGCTGTAGCGACCGGCCCGCAGCCTGGGCGGGCGTGAGGCCGTCTGAGCGCGCATGTGCGCCGTCAGCCTCGGGGGTGTCCCGCGGCGCCTGGGACAGGCTCCCCTGAGCGCGCGCCCCTGCCCCGCCGTAGGCCCCGACAGCCCGGTGGCCCCCGCGAAGGAGCTGACCCACGCGGTGCGCAAGCAGCAGAGGGCCCTGGAGGCGCGGCTGGAGGCTTGTCTGGAGGAGCTGAGGAGGATCTGCCTGCGGGAAGCGGTGAGGCTGGGCCCCCGCCGCGCACAAGCGTGGGCTTAACCCCGGGGGCCGGAGCCACGTGCTGGGCTGTCGGTGCCGAGGAGTGGGAGGCCCGGTCCTGAGAGAGTTCTGGGGGTCAGACGGGGCACCGGATGGCACGGTGAGGGGACAGCTCTCCCCCGCAGGGCCCAGGCATATGGCCGGGCAGAGGAGGGGCTGCAGGGGACCGAGTGGATGGAGGCGCCTGCGGGGAACATAGCCAGGCCAGGGCAGATCCCCGGATGAGGGACAGCCCTGGACGCTGGGACGCACGGAGGTGGGCAGAGGCCTCTGGGGAAGGGCGGCACAGGTCACCCAGGGCCCGCCGGACGGGCTGTTCCTGCTCGGCCAAGGGCTGGGTGCGTGGAGAGCGGCTTGGCACGAACTTGCTTCCCCCGCAGGAGCTGACGGGCATCTTGCCCACAGAGTACCCCCTCAGACCAGGGGAGAAGGCCCCCAAGGTCCGCCGCAGGGTTGGAGCCGCTTACAAACTGGACGAGTGGGCCTTGCACAGAGAGGTGAGGCACTGCAGGGCGCCGTCCCTGCTCCCCGAGGCTGGCGGCTGTGGTCCCCAGGCCTTGCTTCCCCGCTGCAGGGGTCTCTGCTCTAGCATCACACAGCTCAGGCCGCTTGGCTCCGCGTGGACGAGGGGCACCCGCCAACGTGTAGCCCACGTGGCCTTAGGGAAGCCGTGCCAGTGCCGGAACCGGGAGGGCTGGGACCTCAAGGGAGGACATGGGGTTCAATCCCCCGTGGGCAGAAGGCCAGCCAAGAGCGCAGCCGGCCCGGAGAGGCAGTGGCCTGTGCGGACAGGTCGCTCTGGCTCCTGGGGCCATCCTCCCCTTTCTCAGCACGGGAGGAGGGCCGTGGGGTGGCTTTGGCCCTCGGGTCCCTCCCCGTGGTGTGACGGGTGGCTCGTCTGCCCGGCGCTTTGGGGTGGGAGGGAAGCGTCCACCTCAGTCCCTCCCCGCCTGACTCGGGGTCAGGCTGCTGGGTGGGTCCCGGGCCAGCTGCTCGGGGGCCTGGGCCCCGGACACCACTGTCTGCTCGGGGTCTGGGCCGTTCCGGTGTCGCTCACTGCGTCCTCCCCCAGGACCCACTGAGCAGCCTGGAGAGGGAGCTGGCCCTGCAGCTGCAGATCGCCGAGGCCGCGCGGCGCCTGTGCCGGGAGGGGAACCTGGGCCGCCAGGCGCGCCGGCAGCGGAAGCACGCGGTGCAGCAGGAAGAGAAAAAGCTACGGGACCTGCAGCGCTGCCTGGGGGAGTGGCAGCGAGGTAATGGGGCCCCTCCTGCCTTGGCCCCAGGCCCAGGTGAGCAGCGGCTGGTCCCAGACCTGTCCGTCCCGTCGGGGGAAACCTGCTTCCCCAGTCCGCCCCACCCCATCCTGACCCGTGGCAACCCCACAAGCCTCAGCCCAGTCATCACCCTCCCCTGAGACCCTCCCCATTTCCTTAGAAAACAACCCACTCCTGCCTCGAAATCCACGCCCTGCAGGAGACCTCCCGGACAGGAGGCACCCCCAGGCTGACCTCAGCTTATCTCGAGGGCTTGTCCAGCCCTCTGATCCCAGGCCCACAGGGCAGGTGGTCCCGTGAGCACGGCCCGCATTCTGTGCATATCCGCTCGCTGAACTGCTGCAGGGCCCATGGCTGCCGTGGATGCTCTGGTGGAGGTGCACACCCACCGTCCCTGAATTATCTAGAACCGCCCAGTCAGGACTGGGGCCCCGCGCTCTGTTCTCTAGTTACTGTGCCTCTCAGTCTAGTCCCTGAGCCCGGGGGCCGGCGCCCGCTGGCTGTGCGGCACCTAGTGAGTCATCCAGGCCCAGGCGTCAGTGGACATCATGCGTCCAGGCCGGTTCCTCTTCCAGCAAGTGGTTCTGGGCCCTCACGTGTGGCTTTTCCTTTCTCCTGACCCGAGCCCAACTTGTCAGGTCAGTCCTTGGAGGCCTCCCTTCCGTTCTGGCTCCAGGGCATTGGGCTCGCCCTCCCCCAGGCCTCTCCTGGGTCCCAGGCCTCCCGTGCGTGTGAGGGAGCTGGCACAGGGAGTTGGGCCCTGGGCTGAACTGGATTTGGGGCCTCCACCTGGGCTCCCCAGCCCCCACCCCTGTCCCTCAGGTCAGCTTTGTGCCGAGGCCACCTCCTGCCCCGGTTGAGCACGTGGCCTCTAATTTAGGGTGAGTCCAGATGCCTCCCAGGTCCCCCCCAGCAGCCAGGGGTGGAGGACGAGGGAGGAGATGCCTCCATGCGACAGCTGGCCCAGTAACCCCGGGCGACGGGGAGACCCAGGCAGGACGGCCGACTGGCTCTGCTGGAGAGGGGCCTCCGTCCTCCCTCCGTTCCTGACAGGGCCCAGGATGTGACCTCCCCTTGAAAGGCAGCTGCTGACTTGGGCACGGAAGCCCCTGAGGGCTCGTTGCTGTCCGGGTGGCAGGGGGCCGGGGGGCTGTGCCCCGTGTGTCCCAGCCCCTCCTGTGTCCCGTCTGGCCTCACAGCGCCCTGTGGGCTCCTCTGACCACAGGCCTGCGGTGTGGGGTGGTGGACGGTGTAGGGCTGTGGCTCTGCTACTATCATTGCGACGATGAGGCTGCTTGTTGGGAATGGGGAGCAGGCCAGGACACGCCTGGGGCTTGGCCAACCATCCCCGGGAGGGGGCACTTAGTCCAGGGGAAATAGAGCTGTGGGGAAGGGGCCTGGCCACCCTCCTGATCAGAGAGACAGGTTTGCTCTCCACCTGTAGCCCTGGCCTGACCAGGCCGAGGTCCTGGGTCTAATGTCCTGTCCTGACCAGGCCGCGGTCCTGGGTCTAGTGTCCTGTGTCGATGAGGCCCGAGGTCCTGGGTCTAGTGTCCTGTGTCGATGAGGCCGGAGGTCCTGTGTCTAGTGTCCTGTGTCGATGAGGCCCGAGGTCCTGGGTCTAGTGTCCTGTGTCGACAAGGACTGAGGTCCTGGATCTAGTGTCCTATGTTGATGAGGCCCGAGGTCCTGGGTCTAGTGTCCTGTGTCTACAAGGACTGAGGTCCTGGGTCTAATGTCCTGTGTTGATAAGGCCTGAGGTCCTGGGTCTAGTGTCCTGTGTCGATGAGGCCTGAGGTCCTGGGTCTAACGTCCTGTGTTGATAAGGCCTGAGGTCCTGGTCTAGTGTCCTGTGTTGACGAGGCCTGAGGTCCTGGGTCTAGTGTCCTGTGTCGACGAGGCCTGAGGTCCTGGTTGCAGTGTCTCCTGGGAGCCCAGGAGGAGGTGGTTCTAGACAGGTAATTCCTGCTCTTGGCTATCTGCCCGGTTGGGCTCGCCCTGAAAGCAGGAGATAGAGAGGGATTAATAATTAACTAGCAATAAAGATGTATGAAAAAATAATTAGTGGCTGAAAGGTGTTTTGAATTAAAGAGGAAAAAAAAAGCAAACAAACTAACCAAAAAAAAGTTGGAAAAATCCACCCACCCTCTTGGTCTCCGCAGGAAGGTTACTCAGTTTGGAACCTAATTATACCAGGTGGCAGCCATTAGCTTGTCCTCTGCAGGTGGCGGGAGCGGTCAGCTGTGGGACTAATTGACCACAGGGAGCCTGATGAGAAATGCCCCCCAGCACCGAGCTGATGTAACAGGTGCTCAGGACGCTTTGTTGATTAGCAGCGCCCGTGCTGGCAACGCTGGTTGAAGTTCTTCCACGATGAAACGTTCCAGATCTGTGCTGTCCAATATGGCAGGCACTCACTGCATGGGACTGTTGAGCACTCGGATTGTGACCCGTGTGGCTGAGGAACTAAAATTTTAATTTAAAATAGTCACATGCAGCTAGTGGCCGCTGCACTGGACGGTGCAGCCTTTGAGAACGTCCAGCATTTGTACGGCCTCTGCCTGGGGTGTCCTCCTGCCGCTGCTGGGCCATGGGCAGGGCTGTGGGGCAGCGTGGCCAAGACAGCAAGCAGCCCCCATGAACCACCTGTGATTAAGCAGCCGGGGGTGATGGCTGTCTTCCCAGACCATATATTCAAACCCAAAACACGTGACTATACCCAGCCCCCGACCCTGGACCGCGACAGTAACAGTCCCACAATTTCTTCAAATTGACATTTGTGAAAAATAAACATCTCGGTTCCCCAAGGTTTTTGTAAAAGATCAGAGGCTGGGAACCAGCATTAGTTAAGAGCGTGTCTCCCCAGTTGAACCTTAAAGCACAGGCTGGTGTGAGCTGAGCAAAGCCCGGGCTGCTCCGTGGGCAGCTGACCCTGCATGGTTTACAAACTGCTCTGTGTAAAGGTTCTGTTTCATTTAAATTGAGGAGCAAACGTTGACAAACTTCTGTAAAGGTCCAGGGAGTAAATGTTTTAGGCTCGTGGGCCATGTGGCCTCAGTCATTACTACTCAGCTTGGCCGTCGTATCATGAAAGCAGCCAGACGTTACGTAAACAAACCCATAGTTGTGTTTCAATACAACTTTATCTATAAAAGCAGCCAGAAAAAAACCTTTTTTTTAAAGGGACTTCGCTGGTGGTCCAGTGGTTAAGACTCTGTGCTTCCACTGCAGGGGGCACGGGTCAGGGAACTAAGATCCCGCATGCCTCGCGGTGTGGCCAAAAAAAAAAAAAAAAAACTGAGCCTGCGCTCCGCAAAGGGAGAGGCCACAACAGTGAGAGACCTGCGTACCGCATAAAAAAAAAAAAAAAAAAAAGCAGCCAGTTAACTGGATTTGTCCCACAGGCCTGCCACCAGCCAATCCCTGTTACATAGAGGATTTTCAGATGGCTGGAAACTGAATCTGCTTTTCTTAGAATTTTCTGGTTAATGACCTCTGCATGAAAGGCCAGCTAACAGGAGAGCCCATAAACCGTGGTGGTGAAGAGCCAGACTCCGGTCAGACGGTCTGGGTGTGAATCTGCCTCAACTACCTTCCGGCGGTTTGACCTAAGCTATGTTATCAGCTCCTCCAAGCCTCTGTGTCCTGAGCTGCTACAGGGAGATGGTAAAATCTTACCGTACACGGTTGTTATGAGGATCACGTGAATTCATGCATATAAGGCACTTAAAAAGCCCAGGAGAAATAATTAGCTATTGTCAGTTTGCCCTCACCCGTGTTCTCAAATGTAGTTGAAAATGCTTTGTGAGTTCCATCCGGGTCACGTTAGGTGTAGAGCGAGAATCTGAAGTTTCAGTGTTTTAAGGACAATGGTAAATTTGAGTCCTCTGTCTTCCTGGGTCCCATGCTGCTGCCCATGTAGAAGGGCCACCCTCCATGTCCTTAGGTGGCTGTCCTGTCACCAGGGAAGGACCTTCCTGACCCAGACGACCAGACTCTCACTTGAATTGTGAGACCCCACGACCCCATAGCTGCAATTCCCACTCTCACTGGTAATGCGGGGGTTCTCAGATTTGCGGTGCTTGAGTTGAGCTGTATTTATGGTATCAGAAGACTATACAAAAGTTAGCAAAAATCTCTTTACCCCAGGGGCCTTCCAAAATGACTCTCTGCCTTCCCCTCCACTGCCTGGAAACCCTGCCAGAGGAAGCCCTGGCTGCTTCTTTTTTTAATAGATGGGGAAACGGAGGCCCAGAGCGTTGAAATGGCTTATTCGAGGTTACAAAGCTAATGGCAGAGCCAGGATTAAAATGGAGTTTCCTGTCTCCTCATTCCTATTTACTGATTTTTATTTTCTCCTTCCAAGTGATAAATTCGCACCTGGCACAGTACTGAACACATGGTTGGTATCTCCCGATAAGGGATGCTATCAGGAAGGGGGCGGGGCAGCTGCTCAGCACTGCTGATGCCCCAGATCTGCAGGGGGATTTCTTCACCTCCTCCTCTCTCCTTTGGCCTCCCCAGAGCTCGGCGCCTCAGACGACAGCTCCCTGTTGGACGGGCTGCTCCGTGAGGAAGGTGAGAGGGCGGTTTAGGGGCTGTTGTGAGCGCTGGGCTCCTGCACAAGAACTCGGGGCTTGGGCGGCGTTTGCTGTGAGTTCTCAGTGAGCTAAAGGAGGCGGGAGCCGGGCTGGGCTCAGCGTCTGCTCCGCAGGGATGCTGATGCCTGTGCGCCCTGTGCATGGGTGAGAGGGGGGATGTGCTGACGCTTTGCCGGTCCAGGTGCTCGGATGACCGGGAGGGGAAGGGGAATCCAGCAGAGCCTTGGGCCCCGGGCCTCCCTGCCTTTGCCTGGGACTTAGCCTTTACGTCAATACGCACCCGTCAGAGCCTCAGCCATCGGGCCACGGTCATTGCCCTTTGTGAAAACAGGGTAGCACTGAGGGAGAAAACACAAGTCCGTAGATTGAGAACCCTGGTGACAAACCCTAACAATGCTGAGGGGTCAAGGTGGGCCAAGAGGGTGGTGAGGTCCTGCCCAGGGGAGGGCCCAGGCCAGTAAGGAAACAGCACACGTGGGCACGGCGTGAGAGGAAAAATAGGGAAACAGGAAGTTAGCTGCAGACATGGCATCAGGAGTAAAGGTTAGAAAGGGGAGTCATGTGAGCCAAGAGAGTCAATCTGGGGAGGCTTCCTGTAGGAGGCAGGTATAAAATGGAGCTGTAAGGAGTAAGTCTGAAAGGAGAATAAAGTGTTTAGAAGCTCTGGGCCCAGAGCCATGGCCTGGCACAGCCGGACTGGCAGCCACGGGAGGGCGGGCCAGGTGCATGCCATGGAGGTTCTGGTTGGGCTGGTTCCCCCACCACTGCCCTCCCGGGCTTCCTTTACCTGCAGAGGCATCTCAAGTGCCAAAACCTCCCCCAGAGTCCCCAGATGCGCCTTCCCGGCCTCTCCCGCCCCAAACCCTCGAGGGGCTGCAGCCAGCAGGCCTTGACATGGGGGGCCTGGAGCGGGCCCCCATCCAGAACAGCCCCTGGAAGGAGACAAGCCTGGACCACCCCTACGAGAAGCCCAGGAAGTCTTCCGAGCCCGGAAGCGAGTCCAGGTCAGGCGGGGGGAAGGGAGGGCCAGGAGCAGGTGGGATCTGGGGTGGGGGGGCACAGTGCAGGAGACCCCCATCCTGCGTGTGATGGTGGGAGGCATGAGTCCGTCCCTCCGCACACCGGAGCCCCTGGATGGAGGCGTTCCTGCTGCTGACCTGTCTCCAATCCCTCCGATCTCCAGCAGCCCGGCCAGCACCCCGCAGGATGGGCCCAGCGACTCCAGCCCTGCCTCCTGCTACGTGGTCCCCGTCCGCAACGTTGCCGGGCAGCGGCAGGGCCGCATCAGTGCCCCGGCCACCCCTGAGATGCAGGGCAGGAGGGGCCAGTCACAGCCCCTGAGGTAAGAGACAGGCCACGCCAGTGATGCCGGGGGCGAGACCCACCATTGAGAATTTACCTTCGGAGGGTGGTGGCTTCCAGGATTATGTGGGACACCCGTGGGTGACATATGGCTTGTGCAGTGGCTTCTCCTTGGGATCTTTTCTTAAGCACCTCTCAACAGAGGCTGCGCCCCAACCAGCAAAGCCAAGGACGAGTCACTTGTGAAGCAAGGTGTTTTCTTCCAAAGACTCCGGTTTCGTCTCTTTGCACAACCGGATTCCACTTTTCTCCCCGTCTCTGCAGACTCTCCTGCGAGAGCAGGAGTGTATCTTAGAAGATACTCTTGCAGTTGTCTGTGATTGTTTTATTATTAGTCTCTTAACGATGGACGGGTCACGTTTTCAACTGACGTACAGTTGATTCTCATTACTTGGGTAGTTATGTCCTGTGACGTGCAAATGCTGAACCACTGCTCCCGGGGACACACAGCGTTACAGCTTCTGGTCACAACGTGTCTGTAAACTGGTCAATACGTAACCTTGTTTTATGGTTACAGCTTCTGGTCACAACGTGTCTGTAAACCGATCAATACGTAACCTTGTTTTATGGGGTTTCTGTTTAAAGATACCTTATCTAATACGTACCATCGACTCATTAACATTGAACTCAGGGCCAACAGCCCTAGGTCTCACGCCTGAACGAAGCTCATCTAACATGTTATTTTCTCCATAAATCACGTCCCAGCTTCCTTGAGCTCAGGACACCAGACGGTCCTGCAGCATCAACTTTGGGGCCATTTTAAACACTGAAATCACCAACAAAACGCACAAAAATATGAAAAGCATGATACTAAATAGACTGTGGGAATAGTATGAGAGCTGACCCCAGAACTCAGAGCCTCAGCTGGGAAAGCCTGCTGGGCAACTCAGAATTTTCACCGCCCTGCGTGTGTCCACACGTGACCACGAAAGCGCCGGGAGTGTTAATTTTGAGGCTACAAATCATCTTGAGCAGTAGGTGAATTTGCAAATACAGAACCCACGAATAATGAGAATCCACTAAATGCTCCTTTCCAAGTTCCCTGCTGTTTGGTGCTCGTTTCAGTGACGGAGTTACGACAGGCAGTGTCGGCCACACCGTCCGACAGCCCAGGGTACCCTCAGGATGTTGCTGGGTTCTTCCCTCAGGTTAACTTTGCTTCTGGGCAGCGCTGGGCTGGAGTCCGGCAATGCATCTTATCGTTTACATACTGCGGGGCCTTTTTACACACCGGGCCTTTGTGCAGATTAGTGAAAGGCGCCCCCTCTGGACGGACAGGCCTGCTCCCAGGGTGCTGGCAGAGGGAGGCTGGATTCCAGCCCCGCTGGCTGTCCGGAGCTGGTGCCCTGGGGAGGGTGACCTGCATGCGGCCACCCTGTCCTAGTCGGCTGGGGCTGCCGTACAGAGCAGCGCAGCTGGACACAAACCACCGCCTCCAGACTGGGAGGCGGCAAGTCCAGGATGCAGGTGCCCCAGGGCGGTTTCTCCTGAGGCCTCTGCCCTTGGCTGTAGTGGGGCCCGCCCTCTCCTTTCTTCGCTGGTCGTCCCTCGGGGCGGGCCACACGCCAGCTTCACGCCTTCACCTCGGTCGCTTGACGGTGTCCGCCCGTTCAGATTGTGTGGATGAAATGCCACTGGACGCCTCGCACCTGAGATGGCTGAGAACAAGAGGCAGCTGTGGCCTCCGTGACCCAAACCCCAGCGTGCAGTGGAGCAGTGGTGTGGGGTGCAGGAGGGGCGTGTAGGGCGCGCCGGGCCAGGAGGCTGTGGGCACGCGGGGAGGCGTGGCCGAAGCCGCGCACGCGCGATGCCTTCCCCGCCGCCCAGACAGGGCTGGCTCAGCGCCCCATCTTCTCTCCATAGGACCGACCCCTTCCGCGCGGGCACCGACGGCAGGGGTCGCAGCGCCCTCCCGCGCCGCCGCCCCACTTACTACACGGTGACGGCACCCGCGCCAGTGCCGTGCCCCGCCTGCCACTCGTGCTCCGAGGACAGCGGCTCCGACGCCTCCAGCCTGTCGCACCCGACGCCGCCCGGCAGCAGCAGCCCCGACATCTCCTTCCTGCGGCCACTGTCCCCGCCCGCGCCGCCCCGCCCGCGCGTGCCCCGCGGCCCCCGACTCCGGCCTCCCCCCGCCTGCCTGAGGGCCGCGCGCTACCTGGTGCTGGCTGAGGGCCGCCCGCCGCCCGGCCAGTGGGGCGAGTGGGGCCCGGGCCGTGGCGAGGACGCGGCCGCCCCGCGCTGGCAGCGCCCACCGCCCGCCCACGGCCGCGTGGCCCGGACGCCCTCGCTGCGCGACAGCCCCGCGGGCCGCGGGCTCAGCAAGGCGGCAGTGTCAGAGGAGCTCAAGTCGTGGCACGAGCGGGCCCGGCTCCGGAGCTCACGCCCCCACTCGCTGGACCGCCAGGGGGCTTTCCGCGTGCGCAGCCTGCCGCCTGGCGCCGAGGGCTTCGCGCGCACACAGGTACGCGCCCGGGTCCGGCCCTCCCAGCTGCCGCGAGCCGGCGGTGGGGCGCAGGCGCACAGCCTGCAGGGCGGTGGCCGGGCAGCTTTCAGCTCGCAGGAATAGGCCCCAGAGCATTTCCTCGCGGCTCTGGAAGGCCCGCAGGAAGACTCCCCTGGGGGCCTGCTAAGTTCGCCTGCACGTTTAGCTGTAGAGCGCGTGTCCACGTGCGCCAGTGGAGGTGACCCTCCCGGACACCTAAGACCCTTTTTCCTAATGGCTCCACCGATGATCTACAAAACAGATAGGCCTCTATTTATAACCATAAGGCCAATCCACATCGCCCCCCAGTCTCCCGACTTGAGCGCCCAGGACGCAGGGAGAGGCTGGCAGTGTGTATGCAGGAGCCAGAAGCTGTGACTGCCTGTCAGCCGGCTCCCATCCCCGACTCCCTTCCCGCCACCCAGCTGAGAAGCAGGGTGACTGATGGTTAAGGGCGCAGGCCCCGATTCAAGTCTCAGCCCTGCCAGCATTGGGCAGGTTTATTAACTCCTCTGATCCTCTGTCAGTCTCTCTGTAAAATGGGAGTCTTAAAGGACCCATCACAGGGGGGCAGTAAGAACTTTAAATGAGTTAGTATGTGTGAAATGATTAGAGCAATGCATAGTAAGTACTAATACGTGGTGTTACTGTCACCTGGGGCCCCCGAGGTCAGGGACCGAGTTGGTGGGCAGCATATAGGTGGAGCGCCCCGACGTGAGATAGCATGGCCACTCTGATTGCTGTGCCCAGTTTTTTCTTTCTGGAAGAGGGGGACCGTGCATGAGCTTTTTTTTTTTTTTCGGCTGCGTGGCATGTGGGATCTTAGTTTCCCGACCAGGGATCGGACCCGTGCCCCCTGCATTGGGAGCGCTGAGTCTTAACCACTGGACCGCCAGGGAAGTGCTGAGTGAGCCTTTCTTTATGGCTCCCTGGTAAGGAGGGCTCTGCAGGGGGTGTGCTCCAAAAGTCCCCAACAGGCTGCTGCTTTGAGACCCAAGATTCTGGCCGGGGCCAGCTGCACCTCCCTCCCCCGCCCCCAGTTCTCTGGGCTGCAGCTGGCATCCTGGGCCTGGCAGCACCCTCCAGCTGACGTGCCTTTCCATGCCTGCGAGCTTAGACCTGTCCTTGGCCCGGGCCCAGCCCGTCCCAACATGCCAGACGGGGAGGGTGATGAGAAGTGAGCTGGGGGGATGGGGTGGGGGTGGAGCAAAGGTCAGGGTGCCTGTCACACCCGAAAGAAGGCTGGAGTGGAGATGGACGAGGGCACAGAGAGCCTGCTGGGGAGGCAAGGGCTGAGTGGCTGGGCCGGTGCTGCCACTGGTCAGCGTCCTTAAGGGACAAGGATGGTGTGGCCGGGCTTGCTGTCCTGATGTCTCTACCCGCTTTGCTCACCCACCTCTCCTTTCCCCCTGGCCCGGGCAGGTGCCCACCGTGTGTGTGCTCCGGAGATCGCCCGAGGGGGCCCCCGTGCAAGTGTTTGTACCTGAGAATGGAGAGATCATCAGCCAGGTGTGACCCTGGGCTCCGGACACCGCGGCCGGCCGGCCGAAGAGCAGGTCGATGACCTGGAGCTGAGACTCTTTTTCTTTTTTTTTTACCAGTTTTTGTTCAGAAGCTCTGGCCTATGGATTTATATTTGTGGTTTGTCCCCAAGATCCCTGTAATATGACAATGCTTTATTCCCCAGAGACAGGCCTACCGGACTCGAGGCCTTGCCTCTGACTAACAGCATCTGTCTCCGTGTGCCAGACGTGTGGTAGGGGACGCATCCCCAGAGAACAACCCCTGGCCCTCCTGCCCCACTGCTGCTGGGGGCTGCACCTCCATCCCCCATTTTCCAGCTCTCAGGCTGTAGGGGTGCCCGGGCTGGGGGCGAGTCGTCCCCTCTGTGATGTGCTCTGTGATGCACGCACCGAGAGCTAGGTTAAAGGTCAGTGTGTCCTGGCGGAGTCTTGTCTTCCTGGTTCCTGCTCTTTTCCTGACCCCATGACTTCCTCGGAGGGGCCCCTGTCACTGTGTGCGCCCTTGTCCTGAGGCTCCCAGCATCGACCCAGACCCAGGAGCCTTGGGTTGGAGGCCTCTCCAGGTTGGAGCATCAGTAGGCCCTGGCCGGGAGCTGACCAACTTCTCTGGGCCTCTTGAGGGCTTGCAGGCCACGCCCCCCCCACCCCCGCCACCCCCGCTTCCTCTGATGTCTTTTCGTCGTAGTCATCCTAAAAACCAGCACTTTCCACGTGCTTTTGGAAGGGTGCCCCCTTGGCGCGTTCCCTGGGCCGGGGGTGTCATTGCTCCTCCCCGCACTCAGCTGTGCTCCTGCCCTGAGACCGGATTTCCTTGAAGGAGGGCAAGTCCTTGTTTTTACAGACATGGGGACACCCGCCTTGCGGGCTGTTAATGAATCATCCTAGTGCTGAGACTTGAAGCCTGGAAGCTGGCCGTGCTAAGACCGTCCGTGGTCCCGGGCTCTCATCCTTGGGCCTTTGCTGCCGGGTCAGATCCCCAAATAGGGGTCCTGCTCCCAGGAGAGAGCCGCTGAGCTGAGGCTGGGAGGTTTGGACGCACCAAGCACTGACCTTGCCCACGTGGCGTCCTCTGTAGGACGGGGGCTACACAGACAGCTCGAGGCTCTAAGAACTTTGAGGCCTGACCCGGATGAGGCACAGTTCTCCTGCTGCCCGGGGCAGGGCGGCCCGGCCGAGGGGTCGGGAGGAGGGAGGGGCCTGAGGGGAAGCCTGCATCTCTGTGCTCCCGGCCCGCAGCATCCTGGCTCTGGTTGCACCTGCCCCGTTGTGTTGACTTTGGGCGCTGTTCCCTTGCGCTGGGTGTCTGAGCGCGTTGCCCTCGTGAACAGCCTCTGCCCCCTGCGGCCCCGGGTCCTCGCGGAGTGCGCCCTCCACGCCTGCGAGTCCTTTGCGTTCACTTACTGGTCCTGTGTGATGCCTGGTGCACCTGAGAAGTGGCTGTGTCCTCGGCTGCGGGGCTGGAGCAGTGGGGTTTCCGTGCCAGATACTCCAATAAAGTCTGTCTTTGCGAGGCCGAGCTGGTGAGGAAGGTTCTTTTGTGCTGAATTTCGCGAGCAGAGGGTCTGGCCAGGTCCCTGGGGGGCGGGGGGCGGTGGAGGGGGAAAGCTCTCTGCGTCCCTGGACAGGATGGAAGCAGGAGTTGAAGTTCCTTGTCCCCCTACGCCCGGGGCCCGAGGAGCTGGGCTCTGGGGGGTCCCTCTCCCAGAAGGACCAGGGGCCGCGGCAGCCCCTGGGGGTCCCGAGACTGTGCTCGGTGATGGGAGGGGCCGAGCCTCCTGAGAGCCGTTCTGGGGGGGAAACAGCCCCTCTCCTCTGAAGCTGGATGAGGTCGGGGGCGTGGGGGGCAGGGCTGCCCAGGTCACCACGGGGCGGGGAGGGCAGCTCACATCAGCTACCTCCATGCCTGCCCTGCAGGGGCCGCTCTGGAACCCAGCGCAGCGCCCCCTGGAACCTTGATGCCCAGGATGGGCGTGGGCCCCAGAGCTGAGGCACCGAGCGTCAGGTGCGGCGTCCCTTCCGCCGGCCCTCGCAGCGGCCCCCAGGGCAGGGCGTGAGGCTGGGCAGATGCCCGTGGGTGGGCGGGCCTCACTGTGCCCTCTGCCCTCCCTGGGCTCCAGGGACTGCGGCTTTGGGGGCCAGGGCGCTGCATTCTGGCGGGGGGCTCTGAGGGGACACAGCCCAGGGTCTCTGGGAAAGTGTGAGCATCCCAATCTCAGACCTGAACCTCATCCACCAAACTGAGTCGTGGATCACGGCCCAGATTTTGTGCATTCTATGTTTTAGACCATTATAAGGAGTGAGGCCCAGGGAAACGGTGACCAGTGTCCCCAGGGTGCATGCCGAGGGGGAAGCTCCGCGGCAAAGGGAGCAACCAAGTCCAGCGAGCAGGACGGGGCGGCAGGAGGAGACGGGCCCCTGGAGGGTCCTCTGGGAGCAGGGGCAGTGGGCACCCCGGCTGTGGACCCAGTGTCCAGCGTGGGAGATGCGGCCAGGCAGCGCTTCCCTCCTGCTCCCAGGCAGGACCTGGGCAGACGTCTGGGGGCTGTTAGCCCCCCAACCGCAGGGCAGAATGGGATTATGAATTGGGCAAGGGGTCGGGGGCTTCAGGATTTCAGCAGCGAGCCTCCCAAGGCAGAGGGATGGGAGGCCACCTCTGAGTCTGAACCATCCCCATGCAGAGAGGTGGGGAGGAAACAGGGCCCTTCAGAGGGTCCCCACTTCCCAGGGGGAGGGAGCGGGGAGTCGGCAGTGGGACCGGAGGGCGCACCGCTCAGCCAGTTGCCTTTCCTTTTCCGCAGCCTGCCCTGGCTGCCGCCCCGAGTGTGCAGATGGATTCACCTACCAACAAGCGAAAATTAAACAAGGTCACCTTTTCACCATTGGCTGACCGTGACTCTTGGAACCCTAACTTAGCAGGTGAGCTAGCCCAGGAAGGGGCTGTGTCTCAGCTCCCAGCGGCTCAGAGGTGACGGTGCTTTGTTGCCCAGCCCTCGCCGGGGACTCATTGATCGCCATGAGTCTGCCCACTCCTGGCTGCCCAGTCGCAGCTCTGGTCTCTACATGCCTGTCCCTTTTGAGACCTGCCTCCCTGAGGGGCCTGGAGCTGGATGGGGGCCAGGACATTGTCTGGGGCTCTTGGCGGTTCAGGAGAGCCACGGCAGACCTCTAGACCCGCCGGTGTGTCAGCAAGTCCCAGGCCCCACCCCTGAATTCCCGACTCTTAAATCCAGCTGCCCGGAGACATTTCCACTTTGATGCCCCGTAGGCGTTCCAGCTGCTGCGCTCCCTCCGGACTCTGCTGCCAGCCCCAGACCTGCCCCACCCCCTAGTGCAGTCCCTCAGGCTCCACATCTGCGTTTCTGTGTTCTCTCACACCCAGCTCACTGCTCTCCCTTCTTGGTCCTGCCTTCCACATAGATACAGAGTCTGAGCGCTTTCTCCCACCTGCCCTGGTCCCAGCCCCCATCACCCCTCCCTTGGGTTATTACCGTGCACCCCCTGCCACGCTCCACACCATCCCCCCATCTCTCTAGTCTCAACCCAACGGCCAGGGTGATTCTGTTGAACAAAGCAGACCACCTGCCACTGTTTTACCGGGAACCTACCCAGGGCTCCATCCCTTACAGAGCAAAAGCCAGAGTCCCTACAGCCATCCTTACAGTGGCCTCGCGAGGCTCTCCTGACCTGTGCCCTGACCGCTCTGCCTTCATGGCTGGCCACTCTCCCTGCTCCCCCAACTCCAGGCTCCAGGCCTCCGGGCCGTTCCAGGAACATATCAGGCGTGGTCCTGCCCCAGGGCCTTTGCGAGGGCTGCTCTTCTGGCCTAGAAAGTTCTTTCCCCAGATATCTATAGGGAGGGCTTGCTCCTCACGGCCTCCAGGGCCACTCAGGTTCAGTCAATGAGATTTTTCTCTGACCTCCTGTGTGTACATACATATACATATATATGTGTATATGCATCCACACAAAACTGTACGAGCAGATGCAAAAGGAATTCCTTCACAAGGACACGAAACAATGTCCCGTGAAGGGACCTGTTGATATGTCCACGCTGTGTCTGTAAGCTCTGCCTGAAAGAGCACATTTCACGTAAAAGGTGAATGAATGAAATGTGTGAAAAAGAAAGCACTTATTGATTTCCTGCTGTGGGCCAGGGGCCATTCTAAATTTTTTACGTGAATGAATTCATTTAAACGTCATAACAGTGATAGACACTGTGATTATCATCCCCGAGTTAAAGGAGAATTTAATTTGCTCAAGATTTCTCCTTTATTTATCATTATCCTGTGTTAATTATTTATATCATTTATTATTTATCATTATCATGCTTTCGTTCATTTAATCCTCACAACAGTGATAGGGACAGTCATCCCCTCCACTGTACAGACGGGGAAACGAGCTGAGGGACTTTAACTCGGGAAGGTCGCAGGGCTCGTAAAGCACAAGTGCAGAGGGCCCTGAATTCAGGCGCTTGAAACGTAATGGCTGTGCTGTGCCTTTAACCCCACCTGCACACCCAGGGTGCTCTGCGGCAGGGCAGTGAGAAATGGCCTGACCTCAGGCTTAGTGGCCGGTGCTGCTTCGGGTCCCAGGGCTGCCACCACCTCCGTCCTCTTGCTTCACCCGCTCCCGACGGCCATGGGTGGACAGGCCTATTCTTAGCCTCACCCCCACCCCCGGTCTCTGCGTCCATACCTGGGTCCCTGCTCAGAGAGGCTCGCCTGAGGGTTACACCAGCCCAGTCGTCAAGGGAGATGCTGAGGATGATTTGGGGTTTCCAGTCCCCTCCCATTCAGGGATTTCTATCTGTGGCCCCTGGGGGTGACATAAAGGACTCTCTCTTTCCATTGCTGTCCTATCCCGGCCGTACCTGATGCAGAAAATCTCTTAACCAAGTCCCCACGTAGTTGCCTTTCCACGGAGGCTCCTGAGGTCCACTCTCGGCCACAGGCCTGGAGAAGCTAGCTCTTGGAGCTGGGGCACCCACCCTGG